GTAAGCACTCTCATCCCGGATGGCGACAGACAATGATTGACGAGATGTCTGCTTTACATACGAGTGGTACTTGGGAGCTTGTTCCTCTTCCTTCGGGTAAATCGACTGTTGGTTGTCATTGGGTGTATGCAGTCAAAGTTGGTCCAGATGGTTAGGTTGATCGACTTAGGGCTCATCTTGTTGCCAAAGGATATACTCAGATATTTGGACTCGATTACAGTGATACTTTCTCTCCCGTGGCTAAAATTGCATCAATCCGCCTTTTTCTATCCATGGCTGCTGTTCGCCATTGGCCTCTCTATCAGTTGGACATTAAGAATGTTTTTCTTCACGGTGACCTTGAGGATGAGGTTTATATGGAGCAACCACCTGATTTTGTTGCTCAGGGGGAGTCTAGTGGCCTTGTATGTCGGTTGCACCAGTCCCTCTATGGTCTAAAGCAGTCTCCTCGAGCCTGGTTTGGTAAGTTCAGCACAGTTATTCAGGAGTTTAGCATGACTCGTAGTGAAGCTGATCACTCTGTATTTTATCGACATTTTGCTTCAAATCTCTGTATTTATCTGGTCGTTTATGTTGACGATATTGTTATTACCGGCAATAATCAGGATGGTATTAGTTAGTTGAAGCAACATCTCTTTCAGCACTTTCAGACTAAGGATCTGGGCAGATTAAAGTATTTTCTGGGTATTGAGGTCGTTCAGTCTTGCTCAGGTATTGTGATCTCACAACGGAAGTATGCCTTAGATATTCTTGAGGAGACAGGAATACAGGTTGTAGATCTGTTGACACTCCGATGGATCCGAATTCTAAACTTCTGCCAGGACAGGGGAGCCTCTTAGCGATCCTGCAAGATATAGGCGGTTGGTTGGTAAATTAAATTACCTCACAGTGACTAGACCTGACATTTCCTTTCCTGTGAGTGTTGTGAGTTAGTTTATGGATTCTCCATGTGATAGTCGTTAGGATGCAGTTGTCCGCATTCTTCGGTATATAAAATCAGCTCCAGGCAAAGGCTTATTGTTTGAGGATCGAGGCCATGAGCAAATCGTTGGATACTCAGATGCTGATTGGGCAAGATCACCTTATGATAAACGTTTTACGTCTGGATATTGTGTCTTAGTAGGAGGAAATTTGGTGTCTTGGAAGAGCAAGAAATAGAATGTGGTTGCTCGGTCTAGTGCAGAAGTAGAATATCGAACAATGGCTACATGTGAGCTAATTTGGATAAAACAGTTGCTCAAGGAGTTGAAATTTGGTGAGATTAGTCAGATGGGACTTGTGTGTAATAATCAAGCTGCTCTTCATATTGCGTCAAATCCAGTGTTCCATGAGAGAACTAAACACATCGAGATTGACTGTCACTTTGTTAGAGAAAAGATACTCTCGGGAGATATTGCTACAAAATTTGTGAAGTCGAATGATCAGCTTGCTGATATTTTCACCAAGTCCCTCACTGGTCCTCGTATTAGTTACATATGTAACAAGCTCGGTACATATGATTTATATGCACCAGCTTGAGGGGGAGTGTTAGTTTGATAGTTAAATAGTATAGTAAATAACCCTAATCTCATATGTATTAGGAGTAGGACATATATATATATATATATATATAGGGCTCATTGTATCATTGTCAATATTAATCAAGAATATTTTCTCCCGTCCTTTCTCACAAGGACCAAATGTGATCACATGCTTTGCGTGGATTCACTCATTATCATACTTCAGGAAATGATCAATATGTTAACTTTTCATCAAAAGAAAATGATAAACTTGTTAACTCTTGGAAAATGCAGTATTTATCAATGGGGGGCAGACTAATGTTGATTAAAAGTGTCATGGACAACATTCCTACTTATATCATGTCCCTCTTCCCTATGCCAAGCAGAGTCAAAAAGCAGCTAGATAAAGCCAGAAGATCATTCCTATGGGAGGGCAATAGTGAAGATCACAAGTTTCATTTGGTCAAGTGGTCCAAAGTAATCATGCCTGAGCACCAAGGTGGTCTAGGAGTTAGGGATCTACAAAAGCACAATAGGAGCCTTTTATTGAAGTGGTGGTGGAGGTATGCTCAAGAAAATTCTTGCATATGGAAGAAGGTGGTGACAGCTAAGTATGGGAAGTTGGACAACTGGAGCACCAAACAAAGTAGAGCTCCACATGGAGTTGGACCCTGGAAGTATATCAACAGCTTAAAACAGGAATTCTTTCCAGAGGTATACTTCAAAGTAGGGGATGGCAGATTTGTTAAATTCTGGTTGATAGGTGGATCCTGCCCCAACCTTTAAAAGACACACACTCAGGCATTTTCCAGATAGCCTTGGATCCAGACTCATCAATTGCACAGAATAGAGCAGGGAACTTATGGGAACCACTCTTCAGAAGGAACCTGCAGGATTGAGAACTAGAGGAACTATTTGATCTCTTCAGAATCATTGAAGGTTCTTCCATAGACCTTCAAACTACAGACATGCTAAGATGGGGCAACTCCAAGGAACCTGCAGGATTGAGAACTAGAGGAACTATTTGATCTCTTCAGAATCATTGAAGGTTCTTCCATAGACCTTCAAACTACAGACATGCTAAGATGGGGCAACTCCAAGGAACCTGCAGGATTGAGAACTAGAGGAACTATTTGATCTCTTCAGAATCATTGAAGGTTCTTCCATAGACCTTCAAACTACAGACATGCTAAGATGGGGCAACTCCAAGGAACCTGCAGGATTGGGAACTAGAGGAACTATTTGATCTCTTCAGAATCATTGAAGGTTCTTCCATAGACCTTCAAACTACAGACAGGCTAAGATGGGGCAACTCCAGCAAGGGTACAACAAATTGTGTGCACCTAATGGAATGATTGACAATTGGCCATGGAAACATATTTGGAGATCAAAACTACCCACTAAAGTTATTTGTTTCTCCTGGATTGCCCTTAGGAATGCTACACTGACACAGGACAATCTATGCAGAAGGAGCATCCAACTGGTCAATAGATGTTACATGTGCTGCAGCAATACTGAATCAGTAAATTACCTTTCTTTGCACTGTTCAGTGGCATCTGACATCTGGAACATGTTCTTAGCAGTTTATGCAATACCTATGGACATCAGAGAGGCATTTGAAGGCTGGTGCTCCTGGAAAATTTGAGAAATCCATAAAAAAAACCTGGCAAGTGATCCCAACTTGTATCTGCTGGAGTATATGGACAGAAAGGAATTCCAGATGTTTTGAAGGCATCTCAACTTCCACCAGCTGTTTGAAGTCTAAATGTCTAGTGAATTTGTTTAGTTGGAGCTACCTCTCCCCTGTGAATGATGCCATTTTCCTTTTAGATTTTATTAGCTCCCTTAGCATGGCATAATGCCTCTTTTGATTTTGGTCTTGGCTAACTCAAGTATTATAGTTTTTTGTCTTTACAGAGTTAGCCAAGGACTCACACTTTGTAATTTTCTGGCATCTTCTTGATGCATTCAATGAAACATCTTACTTCATCAAAAAAAAAAAAAAGAGTATTGTGTCAAATTTGCATCAAGATAATGCTATTATTCTTATTATTTTATAAAATGAGAACTTACATCAATAAAATTTGGCGGTGGGAAGAGATAAGATCCCCTTCTTCAAAATAATGCTATTATTTTGAAACGAGAACTTACATCAATAAAATTTGGTGTAAGTAACGAGAAGGGAAAAAAATAATGCTATTATTTTTATTATTTTATAAAATGAGAACTTACATCAATAAAATTTGGTGGTGGGAAGAGATAAGATCCCCTTCTTCAAAGACTTACCAAATTAGCTTTTGACGTCCCATGATTCTGCTAGTTTAGAAACACCACCAGGGACCGGCTCAATGAGCACCTTTGGGCGGCACAAGACGATTCCACATATCGAGGTCGGAATGGGATCGGGTGTTTTTACGTCTTACCGTAGAGGTCGGTCCGTGACCCCCGGATGCTGAAGGCGTCCTATCTTCCTTCTCTCATATTTGGGGTTCCACATATGCTCTAACCCCCACCCCCAAACCGAAAAACCAAAAATAAAGGGCCATGGAGCTCCATCAACATTATTTCCATGATCAGGCCCATAGATCAGTGGAGGGGCATTTTTGAACTCTACATAAATTGCCATTGACACTTCAGATAATTCAGATAATAGTAGGGTAAAGCGGCTCCTTTTGGATACTGCCTCTGTGCTCATCGCAGTTTCTTCAGTAAGCTTAGAGCTTCTTTCTGGCTTATTTTGCTCTGGATAGCTTTTTGTCTCATCTTACCTGGGCTTCACATTCGTTTTCATGTTTTCCTCTCACCTTATGTTCCTCCATTTCAAACCTATTCTTCTTTAATTGCAATCCTTTCTATGTCTGGTTTCCATCTTGGGATTCTGCCTTTTTCCCCTCTACAAGTTCCAGGGACATGCCAAATGCAAACGTTGTGTTACTTAAGTGATGGCCGCCTTTTGCTTTGTTGCTTGTTTTTCCCAAAGCACCTGAATTTGTATTGAGGCATAGCTGATTGATGTTTTTGGATACGTAGGTGATTGAATTTTTTTTTTTTTTTAAATATTCACGAGGATATTGCATGAATCGAGTAAACTTCAAACAAAGCAGCCATTATGGTTCCGATAATAAACTATCAAGGTTTAAAACTTTGTCAAAGTTTGTTTCATAGAAAGATTCAAATATTTCAAGGCCAGTGGCATGTTTCCAAAATCCAACCTCCATCCTCCCAAAAATGCTCCTTCCTGCTGCACGGCTGCAAGAAAGAAAAAGGATCTGTTTCACTTCACTCACTGGGATAAGCACATCTTTTTGTTTTAACTTGCTAGATTTTGAAGCTTATATTGATCTATTTACTTCCTAAAGAGATGTCCCAGGCCTGCTTACATCTAGAGATTTTGACTTTAGGCTTTCTTCGGTTTTTCGCTATCATTTAGAAATGCACATGTTTTAGTCTGTTGATTTGCTATTGATATTTATGTTGCTATTCTAACTTCTTTGATTGCAGTCACCTGGTGATTGAGACATCACAAGAAGTTAGTGATGTTCCTTTTGCAGATTATTTTCGAGTGCAGGTATGAGCTTTACTTTTCATAAGGGTCTGCTTTCTCGTTAGCACTAGTACTACTTGAGGTTATCTTGGACGGGTTTTTGATCAGTATTGATTATAAATCTGCACTTGCATCTATCCTTTTTTTTTAAATGAAAAACTGCACTTGCTTCTATCATTAAGGTGGTGCACAATTCATGCGAGATAACCGATTGGGACATATTCGTACCAAAGAAATGTCTCATAAACGGAAAATTAAAAGGTAGACATTGACTGTGAAAATTAAGAAAGGACCTTAGGAAATGCTGCTGCTGTCTTTCCTTCTCACATTGCGATCATGTTCGTAAACAACCATTGCTACCCTTCTGTAATCATCAGTCACTCTGTTGAACACCAGCCAAAGGGGTCATTTTTCTGGGATATATGGGGTTATGTTTGGTGGGATAAACTTTGGGCAAATGTTTGATGGTCTTAAGTGCTTAGTCTAATTCTTTTCTGGGCCCCGCCGGATGAGGGGATTTTTGGCATTTTTCCCTTTCTCTCCCCACTCACCTTGGACTCTTCTTCCCTTAATTCTGTGTTTTGCGTTGAATGTTCCTTGGATTTTTCTTTGTTTGTTTTGGACTATAATTCAACCTTATTTGAATAGATTAAGGATCGTATTATAGTATTGCTAAGTAGGAACCGGATAGTTTTATCTGCCCAGTGTTATTAGCAAATTAGTGTAAGCACTCTGAATGTTGGTACATTTATCTTACCTGGCTTTGCTGCCTGGGTTATTATGTTCTTAACTTATCCTGCCTGAAGTCATGTGACCTTAATATTGCTGGTTTATTATCCCCCTCATGCCAGGGTCATCTCCACAAACATTAGAATTCCAATCTCCTTGCAACAGTTTGCAACCTTCCATAGCTGCTACTAGCCTGTTAAATTTAAACTGTCAATTCCTGAAAACACATTATCAAAATGATTATGTATGTTATGTTATTTTATGTTATTTTATTATGCGTCTATTGATAGTACTAATATATCGTCTCTCTTGTTGCTTTCTTGAGCCGAGGGTCTCCCGGAAACAGCCTCTCTGCCCCTCGGGGTAGGGGTAAGGTCTGCGTACATATTACCCTCCCCAGACCCCACTTGTGGGATTATACTGGGCCGTTGTTGTTGTTGTTGTAAATTCATAGATTTGAAAATACTATCTGGAACTTGAAGCTTGGAAAGAGAAATATCAATTGACCTCAGTATTTCTTATGTACAATTCAAGCATGGTTAGTTTTGTCCTCCCAGCTATAGGACTCTCATACCTAAGAGGGCCAAAATATGTGTTTTTTTTTGTTCTTTTAGAGGCTGTTTGAGGTTAGTTTGTTGGTGAAAGGAGAGGTTGAGTTGTTTCTCTTTCCCACTTTTTATTTTCTTTTTCTCGGGGATGGTAGGGGATAGAATGTGGGGATGGGGAGGTGACAAGGAGTGGTGGCTGTTTGTTGTCTAAACTGGGTCTGTCTTGCTGAGACTCTAATGCAACTGTTCTTGATAAAGTAATAAAGGGATTTTCATGTGTAAGTCAGCTCACAGATAAATTATCCCCAAAAAAGGGTTAGCCAGCAGAGAGTTTAAACTTTAAGCAGCCAAGGTAAGTATACTTTGTCAGTTCATTTATGTCTAACTGAACAACCATTTTTACAGAATTGACAATTGCCAATTTTTATATGATGCTTGAAGATGAATATATAAGTAAGTGAGATACAGAGATACTGAGGAGAGAACAATCACATTCAACTGTACTTTTCCAGGATCATTTGTTCTAGATAACGTTGTTCAATCTATATTGCTGCATGTGGTGTCTGTTTCACATCTGAGCCGATTCTAACTTAACCAGTGTTCCGTCTGTCTAACTTTGTTTTCTAGTTGAATTGTAGACCATCAAACAATGTCGTCTTTTGTTTTCAGATTTCCCAATCACAAAATTGGTGGCTGATATATAGTATANTTGTTGGTCATGTTGAAATATTTTCGATTTTATCTTAGTTTCTTCTCATGATATATTTCTTCCTTTCACATTAGGGTTTTTGGGATGTGGAGAAGGATCACGATGAACCAGTAGGAGGCTGCAGTTTGAAGGTGTACGTAAATGTGGCCTTTTCAAAGAAAACCATGTTTAGAGGTGCACATGTGTCTTTATTGCTCATATATACCTTCTTCAAGTTTGACTTACTGTAATTTTCAAAGAAACAGCAAGTGACTTCTTTTTTCTCAAGAAGGAACTGCAAGTGTGATCTTACTGCGACTTTAAGAGGCGTTGAAATCTGGGCTAGAATATCGTGGCTTTTTTTCCTTTCCTCTTGTATGCAGGGCTTTCCACCGACTCATCAATAATTTAATAATTTCATAAAGCATCTTGCCTTCTCATTATTGAAAGAGTTATGCTTTTGGTGATAGATTAATCAAATGCTTCTATATGCTATAATCCTTCTTTATTCAAAGGGCTTCTTATTTATAACTCTGACTTGGCTTGTAAGTAAACGTTTGTGGGAGCACGGGATGATGATGAAAATATAAATCAATAAAGAGACAGAAAAAATGCAAAAAACAGCTACTGCTATCAATACAATATTAAAGTAAAAGTGACTAAGCTCAACGGACACCTATGTAGCAATTGCACAGGAATGGTCAATTGTGGCACAATTAGTTCAATTATTTTAGAGACCATTTGATCCAAAAAGTTACTGTTGCTGCTTTTGCCATATCGTGGGGCTCTCCAGCTCTAGGAAGTTTGTGTCTAGGATCTGGTAATTGACGATTACTTCTTCTGGTCGGCTTGTACTAACATGTGCTTTAGAGGCATATCACTTTTACTATCAGGATCTGGATCTTTGTTTTCTAGAAGGAAAAAATGGGTTCCTTTCACTTCGAGTTCTTTTGTTGTAATCAAATATGATAGAGCTGGATAAACAAGGCAAGGATCGCCTGCTCTTCAATGCTTGATAGGTTAACCAAATGCTTTGATGTGCTTAGTACACTTTTGATGATTGATTAATCAAAATATTTCGCCACTGATGCTACATGGGGCTTATCCACTCATATTCGATTTCTTTGCTTCTCCTGAAAAGGGGTGTCAAATAGGCGGATTGGGCTACATTTGGACAGGTCAAAATAGGTTGCATCAAATAAACGGGCTGGGCTATAACCTGCTCAATGTTTGCTTGGGTTGAAAGGGGCGAGTCAACTTGGGCTAAACAATGGGTCATTGACCCATCCAGCCCAACTCAAAACGTTTTCCATTTATTTGTTTGTTCTTTTATAATCTGTTTAATAATCATATCAAAATAATAAAATATTTTTCTTTGTTTATTATGACTATTTTAAACAAACTGAACTCAAAAAAAAAAAAACCTTTTTGTGTTTTGATAAGTTTTCTTATGGATCATTGCCAAAATGACCCGCCAATAAATATATCCAAGCCCAACCCTCAACACCCCAGTTCTGATGTTGACTTGAAATGTTGAACAAATCTACATCCCATTTTTTGGAGAATTAATATAGATAACCATTTGCTAGTGCTCTTCCTTCAACTGAGCCTCATTTATGTTTGATCAATCATATTTTAGTTAGTAATTTCCTAGAGTTTATCTTTTAAGTTGCTGGTGATTTTCCATTGGCAGTCATTATGAGCATCTATGTTCTTAGTTTTTTGCACAACTAGGGGTTTAATAGTTGTTTTATGCTAAGATGAAACTTAAGCTTTCAGAAAATTCCTTTATTTATTCTGACACTAACTGTAAGACCGTGAAGCCGACGCAGCTATTTGCTGGTGCTCTTCCTTCCACCCAGTCTTAGTTGTGTTCCATCATATCATGTCCTTTAAGTTGTTAGCAATGATCCATTGGCAAGGTATTATGAGGATCAGAGCTATATTTTTTGTTGCCCAAGTTGAAGTTTAAAGAGTTTTATATAAACAATCCCCACTTGTATGTATAGATATTCCTGAGTCTGGGGTCTATTGGAAACAACCTCTCTACCTTCAAGCTAGGGGTAAGGTATGCGTACATTCTACTCTACTCAGACCCCACTTGTGGGATTATACTAGTGTTTGTTATTGTTGTTGCTATACTTGTATGTATAGATATTGAAGAGTTTTGGTTTGGTAGGCTCTTTGAAAGTGTGTTTTCATGTTTTCAAAGTTTACATGATTGAAAATAGAGAGAGTTTTTCACCTCATCCACATGGCATGGCTTGACATGATAGTAAATACAGAAAGAAGTTTTTCACCAAAGGCATGATATGTGCAGCACTTTTTGCGTATATGTTTTGATATAACAAATTTTGAGCAAGACGAGATACAACAGAAAAAAGTGGTCCTACTTAGGATTTGATGTGCATTTTAGTGTATCCTTGTTAGTTTCAATGCTTAAGCAGTTAAGGGAAAAAGGTAACTTATGATGATCACCTTACAAAAATATCTGTTTGGCTGCTAAATGCTTGGAAATCTCTGCAGGGAAGATAGTGCAGTCTACTGTTGATGAATGTCGAGACGTGTATGCAATATGGATTGCCCTTGTATTTTTCTCATCCCTTCCGGTTTCTTCTATTTTCAGTTTGCAGGTATTTCAAGGCTGTTTAAGAGATTGATTTGGGTTTTTATTTCAGGCACATGAACTGTTGAAGCAAAAGAAGTTAGAGAAGGAAGAAGGTAGTGCTTCTGGGAACCTCTTGTATCATACCTTTGTCTGTAACAATTGGCATCTGCTGTTTTATATGTTGCAGTATATGTTCTTTGATTCCAGGCTCACATTATCTGATTAAATTATTTTCTGTATCAGCCGGTGGTCATGCTGCTAATGTGGTAACAAGTGCTCAGCAGAAAGAAAGTTCTGAACATGTGGAAATATTAGACGGGGCAAGTGATGAAGTTAGGTCACAAACACTGCCACTCAACCAGCTAGCTGCTGATTCCCTGCGGGGTAGTTGTAGCAGTACCGTCTCTGTTACTTCCTTGTGTAGAAATTTCATGGTTAAGTGTTCATCATCTTTCAAATCTCAAAGCCAGGTTTCCATTCTTATAGTGATCACCATTGCTGTGATCCTGCTCTTAATGCAGGTATGTTTCTCAATTTGCGCCTTCTATCTGAGATTACGTTTAACTAATTTGCTACCACAAACTGTTCCTCATATGATGTTGTGAGCAAGGGAAAGTAAACTGCTTTGGTCATGTGATCACGCAGTTGCTGATTTTCATGCTTTTTTCTGTTAATCGTTAGGGTTGTTAGGGTCAACAAATAGTTACTGGAGAATTTGTCAACTGCAGATTGTACGCTTGTTTTTGGTCTGACCCTTTTTCCCTGATTTTGGGGTTAGTGTCGTGATACTCTCTGTAAACTATTCTTGGTACAGTAGAATTCACCTTTCGATGTCCAAGATAGCGATGCAAACACTCCCTCCTTACCATTTTAATTGACTTGGGTTGACCTTCAAGGTTTGAATGGCTTATTGTATTGGTTTATTTGAGGAGATCAAAATAATAATTTGAAGTGTGAGGAAGTGTACAAATTTGTTGGAAAGATCAATTTTGAAGTAATAAAAAGTAGCATATATTCATATTTGTTTGAATAGAAGGGGAAAAAGTTGGAACAAATTATGATTGAAATCATAGTACTGACGAATTAAGGTAGAAACCGGGTTAATAAAATGGTGACAAGAGAGGGAATGTAATTAGCTGCATGTTACAAGAGTTGGCTGACTTTCGGTGGTAGAAGTAGGTTAGGGCTATACGAGCTGATATTCTTGTATGTTTGCTCTTTCCATCTTGTTTAAATGTAGGAAAATGCTGTCCTTGTTCCCTTCGTTTTGATGCATGTGGAACATGCTTTGTATTTATCTGTCTCTCCTATGAGATGTACATCATCTGATCCTGGCATTACTCTTTTTCATTATATGCCTTCTGGAAAACAAGTCAACATTACCCCCTCCCCTGCAACCAACTAATTTGCGAGTTTCAGCCCAGCCTGGCTTTTGTTTGACTCTGTCAATTTTGTTCTAATTTGTTTGTTACTTTGTATATGTGATGCATTGATCTTCTAGTGTGCATGACTTAATCTGTTTTCACATATGGTGGTCCTCAGAACAGATCGATCAGTCAATATTGCTGTCAGAACTTCTCTTGCAAACTGAGGTGAAACATAAATTTTGCTGTCTAATCTTTTGGTGTAATCAAACTTCATTTGCAGATGAGCATACTCGTGTTATTAGGTAGACCTCAGCACGTCCACGTGATACCTCAAGGGGACTGCACAGGTAGCATGTATCGACTGGGAGATAGGGGTATAGACACACTAGCCTTTCTGGATAAACAGATTAGTCATCTCAAAGAGGAGATGGTTATGGTCGAAACACTGCTCGGCAAAATGCAGCAGGAGCATACACTTCTAAACACGAAATTGAAAGAGTTTGAGCGCCTACGGAAGCACCAGAAAGGATAAACGAGCTGTGTACATAGATGCTGCTGCTTCTTTTCTTCCCTTCCTTATTATCTTCTTTTTGGGTGAAAGGCTTGTATGTTGTACATTTTTCTGATTTTTCGACATTCATGTACATTTTGAATTAATTACATGGTTGCACTATCTACATAAAATAGTAAAACAAGGTTACTGGACTGTTTATAAATATGCAAGCGCCCCAAGAGCTTCTTTATATAAACACATATAATGATTAGAATAATTATGGAAATAGGATAAACATGCGTATAATATGTGATGCTAAATATATATACTCAATACTCTTCCAATATCTAACCATCTAAATTACACAAACTCGTTTTGGAAGATATCAAGCACAAGTTAACTTCGTTACAGTTATATAATATGCAAATTGAGAGTGCAAAAGCACTAAAATATTTTGAAATGAGTAACCATTAACATATTGTAGGGATGAATCAATTCTGCACGTCACATTTTATAGTGATAAGTTATGTGATTGTGTTTTGATGATTTAACAAAGCCTGATACAAAGCCTCAAAGTGTTCGGAACAAAAAGTCACATGTCTGGCACAAGTTCCAAATATCAATCAAGGGAGCAGCAAAGGGACCATATTGCTATCAGTTCCTTGGATCACATTATAAGTTAACTCTTTACGGCTGTCAAATGTTACACCCCATGTTTTTTACGTGAGAGTACGTCGTAAGTCAATTAATGTAAGCTCAGAAATAAGATCGTCTTTGAAAGTACAAAAAGTAAGTTAATCATGTTATCTTGGAAGTTACAAATCTTTAAAGTCATGAATAACAAGTACCAAGAGGGTTGAAAGGCTTACAAGCTAAACAAATTGAAGAAAATAAGTTTCGTCGAATGTCGACAAGTTGTGAATGTTATAACATGTACATTTGGGGTGATAGTAAGGTGCTTAACATGATAAAGAAGTAATGTTATGAGTTATTTTAGTCGTATGATAGTCGTGTATTATGATTTGAAGTCAAACGAGTTGTGAAACAAAAGTTGGCAAAGGTCATCACAAGTTACATTCATAAATTATGATGAAAATTAGGTCAAATGTAGCTAAGCTTTTATCCCAATATACTTGAAATTACGGGATTATCCACCTACCAGAAGGTCTACGAGTCTAGTTTCCAACGCATTAAACCCTTCATCGATACAAGATCGAAGTAGAGAGATATTCGTATTTTTGCGAGACTGCGCAAACAGCTCCCTATGGGGCCCACTTAGGCAGTTGAGACATCTTGATGTATATGTGACGCCTAAAACTCGTTTTAACTCATTATTTTTCACCCTCTTCAAACCCTAGACACCTAAAAACGTTCTCTCAAATTTCTCTCATGATCCAAGACCCAAACCATGGGCGAATAACACAAATCAAGTGTCGGGAATCCCGTGATGCTAGTGAGTTTCTTGTTCTTCTTGTGGTTGCTGATTTTGGTGTGGTTCCATCTCGTGTGGGGAGTTTTTTAAAGTGATTTACGTTCTGTAAAATACTCTTCCAAGGTTTTCATATTGATCCTAGGTGATTTTAAGTCTTCCAAAGTGATTCTAGAGCCGAGAAGCCCGAATTGATTGCTAGTTTTGCTTCCTTGTTCTTGTGGCTGTTTTGGAGCATTCTTCAAGTTAAGTAACCACAAATTTCATATTTTTCTTGTTGTTTAAGGTAATAATCAGTCCTTCCTTCATATATTAGATTTTCAAGGCGAAATACAAGTGTTTACACACACCAACTTGAACACAAATGTTGATTCAAGAAGAGAATACAACTCATATAGTGTTGTGGTGTGATTGAGGGTTGTTGTGAGCTACAATAGATGGGGATTTCAAGTTGTATATACTTCCAAAGGTAATTATATCATGTTCTTGGTTGTGCTTAAGGTTATCTTGATGTAGATTAAGTTAAATGGATGGACTAGACATGAACTAGAGAATAAAGTTGCTAATTGAGGATAGTTGGATTTGTGGATTATTTTCTTTATTATAAATATATGGTGTAATGCTGGAATCATTGATGAATGACTTAATTATCATGTTAATGATACTTTTAAGCTAAATTAAGAAGTCTATAAGTGGTGATATAGGGTATACGTGATCCAATCAGAGTTTGCCGCTCATCGTGAAGTAGTTGTGACTTGTTGTTGTTATATGGTGTCTTGTTATTGATACTTATATGTTGCCGGATTGTTCTAGTTGTTGTTTTTGGTATATGGTATTTGAGGAGGCACTTTTTATAGGGGAGATGCTGCCGAAATTACGTTAATAAGCTGCTAGCTTAAGTTACTGATATAGCCTTTACTCAACACTGATTTTGAATCTCCTTCTGCTATGGTAGATTGAGTTGAATTGTTTGAATAATTGCTTGGAAAGTATTAAGGACTCAAGGGGGTCAAGGTATGTTAAGGCTATCAATATTCCCTTTTAGCATGATCCTTATGATACAAACGAAACGAGCAAACACGGAACTTTCACAAATGACGTTATTCTTAGAATTACTAGGGGTGCCTAAGTTCTTGATTTCCCATGTGTCCTATTATTATATCATCTGTTCATGGGTCTCAGAAAATATGTATGTTGATAAAGTTTATTTTATGATATTAACCGAAGGCATATTGATCTTATGATACCCTGAGTGATCTTATTGACTTACTTCTCATGCATTGCATTCATTTATACATGTATATTGATCCATGACCAGATGACATTATATACGCGTATATTATATATATATGGGGTATGAGAAATGGTTATGGCATTATATACGCAACCACCATCTTATCAGTTGGTATACGTTGATGATTTCGCCCAGAGAGGTCGAGATGATATGATAAGATGCCCTCGGAGGCTTGACGATGTTATGTACGCATATACCTATGCATGATATGACATTTATACGATACGCATGAAATTATGAATGTTTCATGATTCACAGAGCTATTCAAACTTACAGGTTGAGTCCTTTTACTTCATGTTTCTTTCATGTCTTTTATATACTATTTTTCATGCCTTACATACTCGGTACTTTATTTGTACTGACGTATTTTTTGCCCGGGGACGCTGCGTTTCATGCTCGCAGGTCCTGATAGATAGGTTGGCAGTCCTCCTAGTAGGCTATCAGCTCAGCGGAAGGTGTTAGAGCACTCCACTTGCTCCAGAGTTGTCTATTTGATTAGTATTCTTAGGACATGTATTGATTGGTATGACGGGGCCCTCTCCCGGCCTTTATGATGTTTATGTAATCTTAGAGGCTTGTGGACATATGTCATGTATATGGATGATTGTATAGCCTTGTCGGCCTATGTTTTGTGTGTACAAATGATCATTTCGATCTTATAGGTATGTATGTCACATGTATACGTTTGTATACTATATTGGGTCATCCTAGGTTGAGTATTCTCTTATGTTTAATTCTGGTTATCTCATGACGGCCTTTCAGGCTTATTTACCCATGATTGTACGATAATAAGGATATGTTACATTAGTACTCGATTGAGTTAGGCACTAGGTGATCGTCGTAGCCCTTCGGTTTGGGTCGTGGCATTAAAGTTGTTGCACTGCAGGCGCAACAGTGCAACAATCACTTTGAAGCATGTTATGTACCAATACGTGCTTGTATAATCTTAGTGACCTCACTTATATATTATCAACATGAAGCAATGAATACACACGCTCGCAAACCCTACAACATTATTTTCTCTCAAGTGTGCAACCGCCTTTATTTACTCCAAGGCTTGAAGAACAAAGAAGCAACAGAACAAATGAGCAGATCCAAGCACTGAGTTCATCATGTGTCCTTAGTATTATTGTACCTTTGTTAATTTTATTCACTTGTAATTCCTACTCATCTTAGTAAGAAGCATCTCGTAGAATATCTTTGTAAACCATAAGCCTTGTGTCTGTGTTTGACTAGAGTTCATCCAAGTGGTGAGCTTTGTAATAATAGAGTTATTACAAAGAGACTTGCAATAGAGTTATTGCAAGTAGGTGAAGGATTAAGAGTTTAATTCCTAGGTTACAATAGGTTGTAATTTAAAGTTGCTCGATTAGTGAAGTTGAAATCCTACGAGCGTGAGCTGAGAGTTTTCCACGTAAAATACTAATGTGTTATTTACTTACCGTTGTGTGTGTGTGCTCTGTGAGAACTGATAGAGAATCAAGTTCTCTATACAATTTGGTGGACTCTTAGTTTACATCAATTGGTATCAGAGTAGGTTCTTTCTATAAGGCTAACACCTTTTAAGGATCTACATGGCTGCTCCACCAAATTTTGAAGAAGGTCAATCAACCTACAAACCACCAAGATTCAATGGACAATACTATAGTTAGTGGAAGACAAGAATACATGATTTTATCATTCTGAAAATTTGGAGATTTGGAATGTCATTTGTGATGGACCCTTCGTCCCTATGAAGACCATTGGCAATACAGCAGTGACAATCCCAAAAATAAAGAAGGAATACAATGATGCCGATCGCAAAGCTATCGAGAAAAACTTCCGAGCAAAGAAGTTCCTTGTTTGTGGTATTAGACCAGACAAGTACAACAAAATCTCATCTTGTCAATTTTCCAAGTATATTTGGAAGGATCTCGAAACCGCACATGAAGGAAACTCTCAAGTCAAGTAGTCAAAGATCAACATGCTCACTGTTGAGTATGATCTCTTCAAAATAAAGGATGATGAGTCCATTCAGGACATGCATACTCGCTTCACTTCCATCATCAATGAGCTCCATCTTCTAGGGATGATCATTCCAAGGAACAAATTGGTCAGGAAAATACTTAGTATGTTAACTGGTTCTTGGGAGAGTGACGAGTTAGTATGTTAACTGGTTCTTGGGAGAGTGACGAGCTTGAAATACACACTTAAATATGCTCGCTAGTCGAATATAGTAATTTATAATATCGTATCCACATGGATTGGAATTAAATAGTATTATCATAATTTGTAGCTAGATTTGCTATCCAAGATAATCAACAATGGAGATTTATGTGATTTAAACTTGATAGAATATAAGGGTCCACCAAACTCTATTGAGAACCAGGTTCTCTATTAGGTTCAACAGTACACACACACAGTAGTAAATAAATGACAAGAGGAATTTCACATGGAAAATTCCCAACTCAACGGGATTAAAAACCACGACCTACCCTTGTAGGATTTCAACTGCACTACT